ACCTCTAGTTTTTGTCTGCCCAGGTCTGCCCTATTTGAAGCACCTTATGCAAATCTCTCAAATGTCTCTGAGTTTGACTAAATAATCTTTATAGAGTCCTGGTCATATTTTTAATCTTATAATTTCATCAACTTTTACTCAAACAGCATTTCTGAAATATTTGAGACTGATTTGATTAACATCTTAGGTATAGGCTCAGAGAATCAAACAAGTTGCTCCTTAGGTTCGTGAGCTGTTTTCAGTTGTAGCAGGTAAATAAAATATACCAAATTTTATTTAGTATGAATATTGATGGAAGTCATAATTAATTGAAAGTAATGTGACTGATGTTTTGTTCATCATAAGTTATAGTAGCTTTTGTTTTCAGAGAGCCAAGCCTCCCAAAGAGCAAAAGGTTGAGCAACATCTAGAAAGAATCCGACGCAGTCATCAGAAGTATCATGCTATTTTGGCCTCTATTAAGTCTAATGAGCGGGACCGCTTGAAAGTTGAGTGGAACCAGCACAATGACCGCAAGTTTTTGGAAAACCTTGTGCAAGCAAGAATCAAGGATGCTGTGCAAGGGTTTATTGTTAATGTTGAAGAAAGACGAAATAAGTAAGGCTCAAAAACCTGGGGACAGAGGCTGAGGAACATTACCAGTTGAGATTTACAAATCAAAAAGTATAGTGAGGATGTTGGCTGAATTATGTGTAGTCTATCAATAGCTATCACTTACTTAATAGTTTTGCTTGTGATAATCTATATTTTGATGGAAAACAAAAGAATATATTGTTTCATATTTTATTATTATAAAATTATTCATTTTAATTCTTTTGTTGAAAATATGCCTTTCATCTCATTTGTATGTGATCAAGTAAATATGGCATAGATCTGTTTCTATTGCTTTAAGTGGCATCTAGTATTATTTTTTAGAGAACCATAATGATCTTTTCCTTCTTATAAAATGTATTAGATTTAGAATTCTGAAATCAAATATAACAATGAAAATAAAATAGTGCATGTAGCATGAGAGTTTGATTTTTTTTTTTTTTGGTCTTTTTCAGGCTACGTGAACTTTTAGCATCAGAAGAAAATGTGTATTTGATTTAGAATTCTGAAATCAAATATAACAATGAAAATAAAATAGTGCATGTAGCATGAGATTTTATTTTTTTTTTTTTTTGGTCTTTTTCAGGCTACGTGAACTTTTAGCATCAGAAGAAAATGTGTATTTTACTGAAATGCAATTGAAAGAAGAAACCATTGAGGAGAAAAAAGATAGAATGAAAGAGAAAACTAGAGTATTAAAAGAGAAGAAAGAAAAAGAGAGACTGGATTTTGTGGCTGAAAAGCTAGACCAGCAATTCAGGTAAGGGAATCAGATACATACACAAGCAAAATCTGAAGTGGACATATTAAAGATATAGGAATGCTAATTTAGAGTAAGTTATAGCCTAATGCTATACAATAGGTGTGTCTTCAAGTCTTGGCAATTATGTTACATATCATTGAATAATAACAGAGTTTGTCTGGGAACTGTGTTCTGATGTTCATTCTGTGCTTGCTTCCCAGTTGTTGAATTGTATTAACCTATGCCTTGCTGTTGGCAGGGAGTTCTTTTGAGGCCCTTATCCCAGGGAGTCTTTGGTAAAGTTGGGCTTTTTCTCTACTGCTGTAGTCCCCACTTGTGGTGCATGTGTTTAGTTCCCTGTTCTTTATTGTCTGTTTCCTTGTGTGGTATTCGGATCCTTGGGTTCTGATCACCTGGAATTCTGATCTGCTTCCTGACCCAGACCGCAGTGACCCCTTAGTTTCAGGTCCCTGGTCTTCATTGTACTCAGTCTGATCCTGTGTTTGCCTCCATACCCCTTCTTGCTGTGCTTTTCTGTCTTTGGATACCCTGAGTCTGTGCACTGATTTCAGCCCAATATTGTACACTTAAAGAGGAAGGGTTTATGTGGAGGTTTACCTAAGGGTGATTCTTGGAGATAATAGTGTTACATCATCAAGAGCTTGACAGATGCTTTTAATTTCACAAAGTAAGATGTTCTTTATCTCTAAAGTAAAGATATACTAAAAAGTACCAATGTCTTGTGAACCAGTGCAAAAAGGAAATAAACCAGAGGGGAATGGTGGGGAATTGAGAAAATAAATCACACAAGAGACATAGATTGCATAAAGGATAAAGAGATGGGATTGGGAGGTCTGGCACAGCTGATGACTGCAGCCAGCACCAAACCATGTGAAGAGCTTTGTTTATATCAGCAATTCTCAACCTGTGAGTCACGACCCCTTTGTAGCAATGAAAATATATCCTGCATATTAGATATTTACATTACAATTCATAACAGTAGCAAAATTACAGTTATGAAGTAGCAATGAAAATAATTTCATGGTTGGGGGTTACCACAACATGAGAAACTGTATTAAAGGGTCGCTGCATTAGGAAGGTTGAGAACCACTGGTTTATATAGTCCCTAAACAAGGTTGCTTATACTAACAATGTTGCAAATCAGCAAGGAAGGCTGCTTACCTGCTCTTTGTTTCCATTTTCTCATCTCAAAACCAAGGATAAAAAAATAATAATGAAGACACTTAGGCCAGGTGAGGTCCAATTGTCTTAACCCTAAAATGAAGATTATACCTGTACTTGAAGGGATCAAACAAGATACTATATATGAAAGTACCTTGTAAACTATAAAACATTCACAAGCCAAGTTTTCCTCTTATCAATGATTATTATAATTTTATTTTGTTATTTTTTATTTTATTATTTTTATAGAAACAGAGTCTCATTCTATTGCCCTCCATAGAGTGCTGTGGCATCACACAGCTCATAGCAACCTCAAACTCCTGGGCTTAGGCGATTTCTTGCCTCAGCTACTACTCAGTCCAAGTAGCTGGGACTACAGGCACCCGCCACAACGCCTGGCTATTTTTTTGTCGTAGTTTGGCCAGGGCGGCTGGATTTGAACCTGCCACCCTTGGTATATGGGGCTGGAGCCCTACCCATTGAGCCACAAGTGCTGCCCTGATTATTATAATTTTAAAAGGTAGATATCCTGTCTGTCTGTAGGTAAAAATGAGCATCTCTAAAGTAGGGGTTCCTAAAGTCAAGTGAACAGGTGAATTATTAGGGTGTAGGAAGAAAATATTAGATATTTATTTTTATCTCATCAGTGTTTAATTTTTATTATTGCATATATAATAATTTACATGATATAGTACTATAGTCATTATTGCATGCAATGTATAAATAATCTGATGCTTTGATTTTTTTTTTAACTGAAAAGAATACATAATTAAAAAGGTTTAAAGACCTACTGATCTAAAGACATAATTGATGTGGGCACCTTCCTGCATTGTAAATTCAGCCTTTGTTGGCAGCATTCATCCTCAGCTGCCTTAACAATGATTGTACTCTTTGATTTTATGTTAAAGAAGGAAATCATCAGAGATGAGCACAAAGAGCAACGTTTAAGAATGTTCATTGTGTCATTTTTAAAAATAAAACTCAGAATAAGCTGTATTTTCATCAAATAGGGGAATGTTACCTTTTTTTTTTTTTTTTTTTGGGGGCAGTTTTTGGTCGAGGCTGGGTTTGAACCCACCACCTCCTGTATATGGGGCTGGTGCCTTACTCCTTTGAGCCACAGTCACCGCCCCAAATAGGGAAATGTTTAAATAAACTGTGGTATACTTATGGGCTCCAGCCTTTATGATATAGCTTATTAGACTACAAACAAGTTTTAAAGTGAGGAATTATTTTTAAAAATAGTTCATGAGAAAATGTTCCCAGTACAATATATAGTAGAAAAATCAAGATACCAGGTTATACACACATAGCAAATGACTCCAATTCTGGTAAAAATGCACCTAAACACAAAAGTATAGAAAGAAATACACTAACTTTATAATAATGGTTATCTTTTAGTAGTGGGACTCAGGGTTTTTTCTTAATGTCTTTAAACTTTTCTGTATTTTCTAGATTTTCTGCAATGAACTATATTAACTTTGTAATTAGAAAAATGGGCTTTTTTAAAAGAAAAAAATTTCATAAGTCATACTACTTGTTATTCTTAGGCTTTCAATGATTGAATAATTTTGCTAGATTATGAATCAAGCAAAAGATTAGGAAGGACTTTAATAACTTACCTTGGCCAATTCTGATAGAATTTCACTGATTAATTTGAGACAGATAAATTCATTTTTCAATATTAAAGTATTCTTTGTTCTTTGTTTATTTATTTATTTATTTATTTGGTATACTAGCAATTTCAGCTTCTCTTACCTGGTTGAACCTTCCACAGAGTATGGACAATGCTGGTAATGAGCACAGTTATATATCAGTTAAACCAATAATTAGTTATTGAGCGCTTTGTAGGTGGTATGTGGCATACTGAAGAAGTATGCTTCTGAGTCCCAGCCCTCAAAGAGATTCCAGTTTAGCTAGGGAAATGAGATGAATTCTCATCAAAGGAACAAGGCTTAACATATCTGATTAATGTCAATTTGTATAGTATTGACCGTTCATGTAATGAGTTTAGACCTTATTCTTCCTTCAGTTCTAGCAACTCAAATATCTTCAAAAGTTCTTTATTGAACCCCTTCTCCAAACTTCAACTTCCTGGTGCTGCATTTGATTTAGAAACCAGAAGGACCCAATGTTTGTAAAGACTGCTTTTAAGTCGAAAGTTCTCAACCTTGGCTGTATGCCAGCATCTTCTGGGGACATGCCTGCTCCTCCCTGTAGATATTTTGGTTTTACTAGTCTGGCCCAGTATAGCAGCCAGTATAGACTATGGCTAGGAGGAGTGAAAGTGATTAAAAATACCTATATAGCTCAATAATGGAACACCTTGGTGAAAAGGGCATGGAGAGAGACTTAGCTCTCCTAACAAGCATGAGAGCTTGCGAGATGAGAGCATTGGTATATTGGCGGTCTCTACACCTGTGGTGTTGAGAGGCACGAGATCAGCCTTACATTAGGCTGGAGGAGAAGGCAGTTGGGAGCATCCGCATTCTATCACGGACCCGCTTACTCTGACTCTGACTCTGTCTCCTCTCCTGCCTGCAGAATGCCAGCACGGTTCTGCTTCAAATACTCACCCAGCTTGTATTTACTGTACAGTAATAGTTACCAGTTATTGAGTCCCTATTGTCATCAGGTATTTACATCCATTATCTCTGTTCCTTACCAGAACCTTGAAAAGCAGTTATTTTACAGAAAAGGAAACTAACTCTGATAGATGGAGTTTTTGATCCAAGGTCATATAGGAAGTGGCAAAACTAGTATTCAAAGTGCACTTGGCCTGACTGAAGTGCCTGTGTTGGGCTGTGACAGCCCGGCTCTCTGCAGCCCCGCACCTGTTTGCTCAGAGGGCCTAGGTCCAGTCTGACTGCCCTCACTCCAGTGTGTGAGTCTATAGATGTGTGCCTCAATGGAGCAGTGTCTCATGAAAGACTGGCTCTTCTAAATTCCTCTTTCAGGGAGGGCTGTGAGGAGCTCCGTGCTGAATTGTGTTGTCTCCATCAGAAGAAAGTGTGTGAGGAACGGAAAGCACAGATAGCATTTAATGAGGAGCTGAAGAGGCAAAAGCTGTTGGAAAAGGAGATGTTTGCAAGGCTTTGGGAGGAAGACCGGTTAGCCAAGGAAAAGCGAGAAGCACAAGAGATGAGGAGACAGAAAGAGCTGGTGGAGAACACGCGCCTGGGGCTGAACGCCCAGATCACCAGCATGCAGGCCCAGCGGCAGGCCGCACAGCTGCTGAAGGAAGAGGAGGCGCGCCATGTGGTGGGCTTTATAAAGTGCTCTTACAGGGTGGTCGCTTGCTGCAGGGAGTCCACTTTACAGGGCTGTTACTGTACAGTCTGCCTGATGGCCCAGGCTGGTTCTCAGGGTCCATTTCCATTTCTGGACTGTTATTGCTGTTTAGTAATGTATGCAGATCTGGACATACCGATTTATATAGAAATAAAGTCCAGAAGGCCAGTACGCCAAAACGTTGAGAGTGGCAGTGGATGATGGGTATTGTCATGATGGGTGGTTTCTCGTTACATTTTTCTGCATTTTTTAACTCCGCAACTACTTATCATTTTATTATCACACTTACAGAGCAATTTTCACAAAGCTTTGTTGCTGAATCAGCAACAAAAAACAGGTTTGTTTCTTATGACCGCTCTAAATTCATGAATGCATGTGTATGTATTTCTAAGAAATCCCTTATTCTCATCTCTTAAATAAAATGCATTAACGTATTTGTTTTATCCAGTTGTACTGATGTATTATCTTTATTATTGTGCCACCTTAGGAAAGTGACATCGCACTGGTTAAACTTGAGGATGAACAGGATAAGCTAAAGAAACAGAAAACCAAACAGGAAATTAGGACTCTTTTGCAAAACTCCCTACAAGAGAAGATAAAGCAGACTCAGCAGGAATACAGAGAAGAACAGGACTTGAACATGAAGCTTGTGCAAAGGGCCCTTCAGGACTTACAGGAAGAGGCAGATAAAAAGAAGCAAAAAAGAGTAAGACATTTATTTCGTGCCTACTATATGCTAGATGGGATTCCTTGTTGAGTTCTTGCTCTTGTGGAAGACAGCCACAAGTCAAACGTGCCACTCTAAGTGTGGTTCACGAACCAACAGCAGTGGCATCTTCAGGGTGAGGGGGGCGGTATTAGAAGTAGAAATTCATGGACTCCCAAATCAGAATTTGCAAATCAAAATCTTGGCAGGGACAAGATATCTGTGTTTTAACAAGGACCCTTCCTCCCAGGTGATTCTGATGCTCACTAAAGTTTGAGAACTCCTGGAACTTGGGGAAGTTATCACTGAGAGAGTGGTATTTGAGTCGGACCTTAAAGGATATGTAAAGTTTTTTCAGGCAAAGAAAGTAGGGAAAGGCATTCGGTATTCATTTAGCTACCTATACCTTTAGAGTTGGTATTGAACTTTTAAGAGGTCTCTTCTGTTCCTACCAGTGCTTTGTTTTTTAAATTTTTTATTTTGAAATAATTATAGATTAACGTATTGTTGACTGGCTGTTTTACACGGAAACTATCCACATTACTCAATAACTCATGAGCAATCACCAGTGTTTTAACATGCAGTTTTAAGAAATAATACAGAGAGATTCTTTACTCAGTTTCCCTCAATGGTAATACCTTGCAAAACTACACTACAATGTTATGGTTAGGATGTCAGCATTGGCTCGGCACCTGTGGCTCAAGTGGCTAAGGCGCCAGCCACGTACAC